CCCCCCCCCCCACCCTCTCCCTGCCCCTGGACCTGCTGGGCCTTGGAGGTATCATGCTGCGGTGGGACCAGTGGTGTCCCCTTCCTGGCTTCGTGTGCGTTCCCTGTGGGGCAGGAGGAGGCTTCCAGGGCCTGTTTCCAGGTCTTTGTGTGTCTCTCTGGGCCTGCACTCTGATTGTGCCCCAGTGGGGGTTGTGGCTCTGTCCTCCTGTGCTGTGTTGTGTCTCTCTCCACAGCCTCAAGTCTCTGCACTGGGGGCCTGATTCTCACTGGATGACTTGGCTGCGTTTCTTGCCTCTGTGTGAGATGGTTCGCCTTTATGGCTTCTCTCTGTACATGTCTGTCTTCATGCTGTGCACTTCAGGGTCTCAGTCTTTGGGTTGTGATGCCCAAGCATATTAGGAGAAGAGGCCCCCTCTGTCTTCCTGCCCCAACTCAGAGCCCAGCGCAGTGAAGGTTTGAGGACCGGGCTGTTGAGGGGTGAGGGGCTCTCTGGGGAGGCTAGGCCTGCAGGCCTGTCCTGCCCAGAACAGGTGGGCCTGCTGTTCTGGTTGACAGCTGCGTTGTCAGTCTCCTGCTTCCCCTCCCCCCATACCCTCCACCCATGTCTGGGCACGTGCAGAGGGGTGCTCTATGCAGTGACAGGGATCTGGCCTTGTTTTCCGTGCCTTTACCTGCCAGCTGAGTGGCAGCCCGCTGTGCTTTGCAGTAGGGAGGAGGCTGGGAAAGGCGGGCAGTGCAGCGTCAGCCTCCCTGTGTTACCCCAGCTCCCGGCCATCAGGCTCAGCGCCAGCCCTGCCTCTCAGGAAGCCTCCCCGACCATGACCCTCATGGATGCGGGCGGGGGAGGGTGGCCGAGGGGCCCAGGACCCAGCCTGGCCTTGCTGTCAGGGAGCTCCCTGTGCAACCTCACTCAGGTGGCCTAGGGCTGGCCACTGGGGATCTGCGGCGTGTGGACAGAGCTGCTCTGCGCCGTCACCCTGCCTTCACAGTGTTGGGAGGGAGGGATCGCCAGCTCTGTTTCACAGAAGAGAATGGGGGAACAGGGGCACCAAGGTCATACAGCCAGTAAGGGCAGAGCTGGGGACCCTGTGGCTCATGGCTGTCTGGTCTGGGCAAGAACTCCGGGTGCTGGGGCCCTAAGACGCAGCATGAGGTGGCTGGAGAGACCCTGGCCCTGGCTCTGCTGGTCACTGGCACGGGCAAGTCACATCACCCTTCTGACTGTGCAGGCAAGATGAGAACACCTGTGTCACAGAGCCGTGAGTGTGAGGCTAAAATGAGGCCATGTCTGTGAGGTGCTGACAGGTCCTTGTGGGTGGGGTGGGGCGGGATCGAGCATCTGGGCCTTCCCTTGGGAGGCCCTTCTAGCTCCTGAAGCTCTCCATCCCAGGGTGGGCCCAGCTCACACCGCCTCCTACTGGAAGCTGCCCTGATTTTTTAAAGACCTCAGAAGCACTGAGAATGCGATGGTCTGGTTGTACCTGAGGCAGGGTCTGGTGCCTTCCCACCTATAAGAGCACAGGCTGGCAAGGGGGAGACTGGCAAGGGGGGTGGGACAAGCCAGCCCAAAGGGGTATCATTCACACACCCCCATCACTGAGTTCCTAGTACGGGAGCCCTGGGTGTGCTTTATTGTAGGACACTGAAGGACAGGCCTGACTCCTGAGTGCCTGGATCAGAGAGCAGGGAACCTGAGGTGGGCAGACCCCACCTCAGAGGGGTGAGCAGTGACTGGATTGCACCAGCCTGGAGCTTGGGTTCACTAAGCTGAAATGGGCCTTAGGCATAGCACTGACCAGGGCAGCCCCACGGGTTGAGTCCCTACCCTGAGGGGCTCCTAGGGGTGGGGGCTGGAGGTATGCCACAGACATGGACACACACCCTGGCATGGCCTCCTGCAAAGTGTCTGCTCAAACCAGCAGACCTCCATGGCAAAAGCCCAAGGCAGAGTCCAAGCAGTGGCCAAGCTGAGACCTGGGAGGGGGGCTGAGGGAACACTAAACCAGAGACCTTGCCCGGGATCGCACCAGGGATTCAGAGGGGTCAGCAAGGAGACCTGGAGTGGAGTCCCTGCTGGAGGAGGGAAGCGTTGGAGGCTGGCGCCATCTGGGAGGGCTTCCTGGAGGAGGGGAACTCAGAGGTATAAGGGCTAATGGAAACAGGCAACAGGAATGCTCTGTCCCAAAGGGCTGAACACAGAGATGGCGTTCCCACACTGGCTTCCAGCAAAGCCTTCCCACAGAGCAGGGCTTACTCTGATAGGGGTGAGCGCCTTGTCCCTGGGGGTGTGGGTGCAGAGGCTGGGAACCCTGTGGGGACTCTAATTCAGACAATCAGATCCTCAGCAGGGAGTTATCAGTGTAATCGCTTCCTTGTCCCCAACCTTAAAATGAGAATAGTCACATCTACTCCTCAGGGTGGTCAGGAGTCTTTAATAACATATCACACTTAGAATGGTGCCCGACACGCAGGAGGGTTCGGTTAACTTTCTCAGACAAGAGAATTTGGAACCTGCTTTGTCTGAGAGTAGCTGAACCCTGATCCCGCCCTGCTGTGTGACCTTCACCCTCAACTTTGCCTCTCTGGCCCATAGTGTCTTCATCTGTAGCAGATGGTGACAGTGTCTCCTCTCAGGGATGGTGGGAAGACCTGCCAGGTGGGCTGTCTCTCTGTAGTCCTAAGGGTGGCATCTTCAGAGTTGGCAGCTGGAGTGGGAGGTGGTCTAGAGGCATCATCCTTTGCAAATGTGAAAGATTATCGTATTTTTTTTTAATCAGTCTCACTCTGTTGTCCAGACTGGAGTACAGTGGTATGATCATGGCTACTATAGCCTTGACCTCCTGGGCTCAGACGACCCTTCCACCTCAACCTTCCAAGTAGCTGGAACAGGTGCACGCCACCAAGCCTGGCTAATTTTTTTACTTACTGTAGAAATGAGGTCTTGCCAAATTGCCCAGGCTGGTCTCCAACACCTGGGCTCAGGCAATCCTCTTGCCTTGGCCCCCAAAGTGCTGGGATTACAGGTGTGAGCCCCCACTCCTGGTTAGGTTATTGATATTTTTAAGAGCCCAGCAGGGGTGCCAAGAAGCAAACCAGAAATCTTCAGCTCTGCCCACAACTGTGAGGGCCTAACTGGGGAGGCAGTGTGTTTGAGATGGGAGGGGGCATTCCCAGCAGGGGGAGCACCCGAGTGAAGGCCTGGTGGCGGGGGAGACCTGGGTGCTTTGGGGAAACAGCCAGGAGCTCTGGGTGGCAGGAGGGCAGGTCTCAAAGGCCACAGAGACGGCGTGGATGGGTTCTCTAGGCCCTGTGAGGTTGCAGGTGATGGGATCTGAAGGGAATGAGACCCCTGTTCACCCTCTGGTCCTGTCCCCACAGGACATGCGGAAGCACGTGACTATGACCTTGCTGGACACCGAGCAGTCGTATGTGGAGTCGCTGCGCACCCTGATGCAGGTAAGTCTCGGAGCCAGGACCCTGAGGACGGTCATTCTAAGAGGCTGTAAGACAGGCCTGAGCAAACCCCTGCCATAGACAGGGACCCGAAGCCAGAGAGCTGTGATCCTGGGACACATTGCCCTTCCACGGAGGACTCTCGACATGGCCACCCCAAAGGAGGAGGATGCCACCTCCAGGGCAGGAGAAAATGGAGAGGGCCAGGCCGCCCCAGTCCCACTGTCCTCCTCCACTTTCCCCTAGCAGCTCTGACCTGAGCTTAGACCTGGAGCCTCCTCTGGCGTGCCCCTTCCATTTTATTCATTGACTGGGAACACGTTTGTTGAGTGGAATTAAATGTTGAACACCTGCTGTGTGCAGGTCCTGTCCGCTCATGAATGAGAGACCAGCTTCTCCCCCCAAAGCTGTCAGTTCTGTTGAGGTCATAGTTGCATATAGAGGACACTCTAGAAGCACTGAGGGGCTTCTTCCCCTCAGTGGGAAGAAGGATGTTCCCTGGAGGAGGTGTTGGCTTCCAAGACCTGTCTTGTTGGCAGCAGGAACAGCACATGCAAAGTCAAGTAAGGAGGCTGGTCGCGGTGGCTCACTCCTGTAATTCCAGCACTTTGGGAAGATTACTTCAGCCCAGGAGTTTGAGACCAGCCTGGGGAACATAGCAAGACCTCGTCTCTACCAAAAATTAAAAAATTAACCAGGCATGGTGGCGCCTGCCTGTAGTTCCAGCTACTTGGGAGGCTGAGGCAGAAGGATTACCTCAGCCCAGGAGGTTGAGGCTATGGTAAGCCATAGTTGTGCCTCTGCACTCCAGCCTGGTGATAGAGTGAGATCCCTGACTAAAAAAAAAAAAAGCAGTCAACTAGCCGGGCTCAGTGTCTCAGCCTGTAATCCTGCACTTTGGGAGGCTGAGGTGAGTGGATTACCTGAGTCCGCAGGTTCAAGACCCACTTGGGCAACTTGGCGAGACCTCATCTCTACAATAAATCAAAAAATTAGCCGGGCATGGTAGTGTGCGCCTGTAGTTCCAGCTACTTGGAAGGCTGAGGCGGAAGGATTGCCAGAACCCAGCAGGTCGAGGCTGCAGTGGCCGGGAGCGGGCCACTGCACTCCAGTCTGGGCGACAGAGTGAGACTCTAACTCAAAAGAAAGAAAAAAAAGCAGTCAACTAAAGAGAAGGCCTGGCACATTCGGGTCCACATGGCCAGCACAGAACACAAAGGGCTGGTCCTGTGGTGACACTGCAGGAGTCAGCAGGGGCCACACTGTGGCGGCCTTGAGTACCAGGAGGAGGGTTCAGACTCTGTCGGGGGCCCTGGAGAGTTGGCACAGGGCTTTGCGCAGGGGAGGTGTGTGGCCTGAGTCATGCTTCATGGAGCACATCAGGCTGCTGGGAAGATGGTGGCAGAAGAATAGGCCAAGGCCATTGAGATAGGCGAAGGCAGAGGCTGGGGAGGGAACGCTGGGACAGGCACTCAGGAGGTGGACTGATCAGGCCAGGCATGGTAACTGGCTGGATGTGGGGCGAGGTGGAGAAGACAGGATGGTGTCTGGACTCCTGGCCTGAGAGAGGTGAGGTTCAGAAGGGCACACGGGACAGGGTGGCGAGTTCAGGTTCAAACACAGGGGTTCTGGGGTGGCTCAGAGCCTGGATGCACACATGGGTTTGGGGCCTGGGGTAGAGAGTATGGCCCTGAGCCAGAGGTCCTCTGGCAGGCACGGCTGAGGATGAGTTTGCTTAGGCCATGCAGGCAGAATGAGAGCGAAGGGTGAAGAAGGTAGAGCCCTGGAAACATCCAGAGCTTCCATTCATTCATTCATTCATTTGTTTGCTCCACAAGTCTGCTGTGGACCCCCTCTGCATGCCGGGCAGTGCTCTCTGTGTGGCAGTGGCTCAGCAGTGAGAATGAGTGACAGGGGCCTATCTCCTGGAGCCCACTGTCTGTGGCTGAGACTGACAGTCACTAGTCACACGGATCATGCATGACAACATATAGTGATACAGAAGTGCACACAGATATGTACCCATGATGGGCGTCACTCAGCCTTAAAGAGGAGAGGCATTCTGACGTCCTATGACATGAGTAAGCCTTGAGGACATGCTGCTAAGTAAAAGAAGCCAGTCACAAAGGGCAAATACCGTACGATTCCACTTAGTTGAGACATCTAGAGTAGTCAAACTCAGAAAATAGAACGGTGGGTGCCAAAGACTGGGGACGAGGAGTAGGGGTACAGTTTAATGGGTATAGTTGGAAAGAGTTTAGAGCTGGATGGTCATGATGGTCACACAACATCATGAATGTATTTAATACCACTAAACTATAACACTTAAAATGGTAAATTTTATGTTATGTATATTTCACCACAAAAAATACACTGCTTTTTTTTTAAAGTGCACAGAGTCATGAGAACACAAAAGAGGGGCCTGCCCTGGTGTGGGGCGTCAGGGCAGGCTTCTCTGAGGTTGGGGTGTTTAGCTGAGACCTGAAGGGTGGGTAAGATTTTAGCAGAGGGAGTTGGGAGGGGATGGGCCCAGGCAGAGGGTTACAGCAGGAATAAAGGCTGGGAGGCCAGAGGGAACCTCGCGCAGGGAGGGGCCAGAGGGGAACCGTGTGGCTACTGGAGGGAGGGCTGCTGGGCATGGAGCTGGGCTTGACGGCAGGCACAGGAAGCCGTAGGAAGCACACAGCCGGAGTGCCTCACAGGAGTAGATATCCAGGAGCCGAGGGGACCTTTGCCATCCCTAGGTGAGCGCTGGAGGCATTCGTGTTGGACCGTCCAGGGTTTGTTTTGAATCACTGTCCTCCCTGGGTGATGCAGCCTGATTATCTCACTTCTCTGAGCCTCAGTTTCACCTGCAAAGGGTCGCTGATCATGCCTGTCTCCTAGCAAGAGGACTAAAAGGTGATGACACCACCCATGCCAGTTCGTAGGCAAGAGGCAGGAGCAGTGGAGAGTAGGGGCCAGGCAGGGCCTGGGTGTGTCTCTCTAGGGCTCAGGGCAGGGCTGCACACAGGGAAGGCATGCAGGGCCTGGAGGTGTTGGGTGGGGAGGATTTGAGGTAGGCCGGAGGGTGTCACCTGAACCTGAGGACTGTCACTTGAGGCAGCCCTGGTGTGTGGGAAAGAGGGCTGAGGCCCGCCTCCGGGGTCTGGAGCATGGCTCTGAGGCCCAGCTGTCAGGCTTTCAAACTTGGCTTCATCTCTTGACCAGCTGTGTGATCTGGAGCACATTATGTAACCAGACTCCGCCTCAGTTTTCTCATCTGTAGGGTGGGGATAATAGTAGTACTTGCCTGGAAGGCAGATTACAAGAAAGAGATGTGTTTAATTTAGCATACTGCAGCTCTGCATGCATACGTGTGTGTTTAAATTAACAAATTAAATTTGCCCTTTCAATTAGCTTTGTAAGTAGATAATATATTCCCCTTCTTCGTGCAAGGAAATTAAGACTCAGAGAGGTTAAGAAACTTAGCCTGGGCAACAATGAGACCTCATCTCTAGAGAAAAAAAAAAATCCAGGTGTCCTGGTATGCTTTTGTAGTCCCAGCTACTCAGGAGACTGAGGCAGAAGGATCACCTGAGCCTAGGAAGTCAAGGCTGCCACGAGCCATTATTGTGCCACTGCACTCTAGCCTGGGTGACAGAGACCCGGACTCAAAAAAATAAAGAAAGAAAAAGAAAACATGCTCAGGACCATCCTTCTAGTAAGTAGCATTAACTGACATTTACTGAGTGCCCACTATGTGCCAGGTACAGTTCTGAATGCTTTACATGGCCAGACATGGTGGCTTATGCCTGTAATCTCAACACTTTGGGAGGCTGAGGTGGGAGGCTCGATCACTTGAGGCCAGGAGTTCAAGACTGTCCTTGGCAGCAGAGCAAGACCCTGTCTCTACAGGGGGGAAAAAAAGAATGCTTTACATGAGTTAATTCGCATCAACTTGACTATAACCCTCATTTTACAGATGATGAAACTAAAACTGAGAAGTAAGGCGGTTTGTCCAAGGTCACAGAGTTAGGAATTGCCACAGCCTGGGTTGCAACCCTGTCAGTCTGACACTAGGTCCTCTCTGTCACCCGCTAGTCTACCCTGCCTGAAACATAGTGGTATTCAAATTGAAATTGGAGTCCACAGCCCTGGTATTACCTCCTGGTGGTTACTGCCACCACAAATTAATTAGTATTGTCACTGCAGGCCAGGTGCTTAAAATGAAGACGTTAATACCAAGGTTAGCAGCCAGAAGGAGGTAGGATTTGAACCCAGATCCTAGGACTACCCCCTTTCCTCAGTGTCACTTTCATCCTCTCAGCCTGTCATAGCCTCAACGCTCACAGCTAACAAACCCCCTTTCCCTGACCACCGGGACAAGCCCCCATCCCTCAGCACCCCTGTCTATTTCATAGCACTCCCTACCTTCTAGCATACCGTATAGTAAGTTACTGATTTCTTGTGCTTCCTTTTCTGCCTCCCTCCCCTCAAATGTCACCCACAAATAAGGGGAATTTGTCTGAGTACCGAGACAGCCCCAGTACTGAGCAGCCAACACACGGCAGCTGCTCAGGGAGCATTTGTTGAGTGAGTGTGGGTTCTGTCCTGGGCTGTCAGCCGTTGTTTATTCTTTCCTCCCACTGTGTCCCTGCTTCTCTGTGGCACGCTGGGATCTGGCGGTGGCGAGCGGCTTGGCTGCTGCTCCTGGTGGAGCAGAGACCCTGACCCAGCCCAGAAGCTGGCTCATCTGCCATCTGTGAGACAGAGCCTGCCTGCCTGCCTCCTCACCGTCACCCCTAGACTTTTCGGAACCCCCTAACCAGAAGAAGAGGATTCTGTTGAGCTTTACTTTCTCAAGCTTGTTTTACAAAACAAGCCAGATTTTTTACAGTGTTTAATATAAATGTTATTGTAACATCACATATGCTTTTTCAAATAACACCCTATTTCCTTGGCCTGTAGTTACAGTTTTGGCCAGTAGGGGGCGACTTCTCCTTGAGAGCACCAGCCGCTGAGCTAGGCTGGCCTTGCTTGGGGAAACACCATTGCATAACAGGACTTTCGGTCACAGACTGACCAGCAGACCTGAAAACTGCAAAACAACGTTCTGATCGTTTCACTAAGAGTCTCCAGTCACTTCCATGTGGCCTTCCCTGCTTTATCTTCTCCACAGTAGTTATCGCCGCTTAACCCACCATGTGAGCTCCAGTGTCGCCCCGTCTAAGACACATGGTCTTCACATTTTAATGTCACTCTCAGGGTTCACCCTGTAATTGGTGACGTATCGTAATTTAGTTAGCCGCAAGTTTTTTTTTTAAAGATAAATAAAAACAATGGTGCATCTTAAATTTGATGAAATGTGATTAATTTTTTTCCTTTTCTTTTTCATTTTTTGAAATTGTCAGACAGGTAATGTGCCCGCATTATAACAAGGTTTAAGGGTGGCATATCACACATGTGCACATGAATACCCAATAATCACGCTAAATGAACTACAAAAGGATCTTTTTCATACTTCTTTCATCTGTTTTTTATCCGACTAGATTGTAAGCTCTGTCAGGGCAGAAAGTTTGGTCTTTCTTGTTGACTGCTGTCTTCCAGTTCTTAGAACAGTGCCCAGCATATGGTAGTACCCAGTAAATCTTGGCTGAGCTAGTGGTGGGGGATTCTCCCAGGAAGCCCCATCTTGCTTTCCTCATTCCAAGCTCTGTTTGTTCATGCATAAACACATCTTTCCTGAGTGTCCATACCTCCGTCTCCTGCCAGACCCTTGTCCGGGCAGTGACATGGGCATAGGTCTTCCCGTCTCCCTCCCAGAGCTCCTGGCCTCACAAGGGAGATGCGGGAGGCAGAGCACTGAGCTGCAGGTCCAGGTGACTCTGTGTGCACCCAGACAGGGACCTGCGCCCTAGGAGGGGGGTGCCACCTCTGAGGGGACGTGCACTGACCACGTGGGTTCTTCAGGGCTACATGCAGCCGCTGAAGCAGCCAGAGAACTCCTTGCTGTGTGACCCGTCTCTGGTGGACGAGATCTTCGACCAGATCCCCGAGCTCCTGGAACACCATGAACAGTTCCTGGAGCAGGTTCGGCACTGTGTGCAGACGTGGCATGCTCAGCAGAAGGTGGGAGCCCTGCTCGTCCAGTCGGTGAGTGGCCCCGTTGCCTGCTGCTGCCAGACCCCACAAGCTCAGGCCTTCCTGGAAGGGGCCAGATGCAGCCACTAACCCCCATCCCCAACCCACCCTGCCTGCATACTGACCGGATACTGACCCCAGAACTTGGCTAGACATTAGCACCAACCCAGCCCTTGGGTGAACTCCAAAGTTTGGCCAGACTCTGACAGAGACCCCAACCCCAAGGTTGATTGGCACACTGACCCTCATCTTGGACCCAACCCCAATGACTGACACTGACCTGACCCTAGTCCCGACCTGAGCTGGTGTTGACACTGACCCAGACCACCAATTGGATGCTGGTACTGACCTCCATCCCTATCTTTACCTGAACCTAAACAACTGTCCTGATCCTGATCCTGGACTTTTCTCCATCAGGTACTTTAATAATAATAGCTAACACTATTTGGCACTTATTATGTGCTAAGCATTATTCTAAATACATTATAAGCCAGCACAGTGGCTCACACCTGGATTTCCAACACTTTGAAAGGTGGAGGCAAGAGGATTTCCTGAGCCCAGGGGTTTGAGACCAGCTTGGGAAACTTGGCAAGACCTCGTCTCTACAATAAAATAAGATAAAAAATTAGCTGGGCATGGTGGCATGCACCTATAGTTCCAGCTCCTTGGAAGGCTGAGGCAGAAGGATCGCCAGCAGGTCAAGGCTGAGGTAGCTGTGAGTGTGCCATTGCACTTCAGCCTGGGCAACCAAGTGAGATTCCAACTCAAAAAAATAAATAAAATAAATAAATACATGATAAATGTATCAATAGCTCTAGGAGAAAGGTGCAATGATTACCTTGATTCTAAAGTCAAAGACTGAGGCACAGGGAGATAAGAAACCTGATCGAAGTCACAGTTAGTCTAACACCCAGGCTCTCCCCTACCCCAAACTCCCTGTCAGCACAGGCCAGGCCAGCACCCCTTCCCCCACCCCCGCTGCCTTCACATGTCAAGCTCCTGTAATAGTGATTGTGATGATAGAAGAGATTTTGATTTCAAAATTCAAAAAGAAATGCAAAAGCAAAACTAATAAACATCTCATTAAATGACTGTAAAACATAACATGCCATTTTCTTCCACTGTTACATTTAGTATTCATTTGTGAGAATTTAATTACACTTGAAAAACTTTCAGTTGCATTTTGTTATTTTGCCAGAATTCCCAAGAATACATGATGATGACTGATAAATCATAGCCAAATGCAAACTAAATGGTTACTCAGAGCCACATAATTACAAAAACAAAACTGTAAAAATTCTTCCAAAAATTTTACAAGTGAAAAAAAAGTTACATCTATTTTTGTGGGATGTGGGTGTGTTTTTAATGTGTTTGTTATGCTGTGGGGTAGAGCACTGAACCTGAAAAAGGTCTTAGAATGTCCCTGCTTGGCTGGGGACAGTGGCTCACACCTATAATCCCAGCACTTTGGGAGGCTGAGGTGGGAAGATCACTTGGGTCCAGGAATTTGAGACGCAGCCAAGACAACATAGCAAGACCTTGTCTCTACAAAAAAAAAAAAAATCAGAAAATTAGCTGGGTGTGGTGGCATGCGCCTGTAGTCCCAGTTACTCAAGAGGCTGAGGTGGAAGAATCGCCTGAGCCCACGTGTTCAAGGCTGTGGTGAGCTGTGATCTGTGCCACTACACTTACTCCAACCTGGATGACAGAGTGAGACCCAACTAAAAAAAATAAAGTTCCTGCTGACCTAGAAACTGATATGACCTGATGAGAGTGATAGGACCCCAACTTGGATTGAGTGCTGATACCTCCAGCCCATCATCACCCTCAGCGTCACTAGGCTCGGCCTCCACATCCAGACCTTTTCTTTTTTTTGAGTCAGAGTCTCTGTCACCCAGGCTGAAGTGCAGTGGCATGTTCACGGCCGCCACAGCCTTGACCTGCTGGGCTCAGGTGATCCTTCCAAGTAGCTGGAACTACAGGTACACGCCACCACACCCAGCTAATTTTTTAATTTATTGTGGAGATGAGGTCTCTCCAAGTTGTCCACTGGCTCAGGCAATCCTCTCGCCTCGGTGCTGGGATTATAGGCGTGAGCCACTGTGCCCGGCCTTATGTCCAGAACTTGATGCTGACCATGGACTTTGGTGGAAGCCCTGGGCCCTAGGGTGGGGTGGAGGGCAGCATAGGGAGCTCTGTTCGAGGGTAGGGTGAGTGGTAAGGGCTTCTCCTCCCTGAGCTACTTCACATCCTGTCTTGTTCTGACCGGGAGGCAAGGGACAGTTGACACCCTAGAGAGATAGGACTCTGATGGAGCCAGAAACACCACTGTCGGTCACTTAGACTATTCATGGTGCAGGGAGACAGAAACCAGGTGTTTTGGCTCCCAGCCAAGGCTTCTGACCAAGAACCTCCATATTTAGTGTGCCATCAACCCACCAGCAGGTATTAGCTACCAGCTGTGTGCCCTGCCCTGAGCCAGGCTTTACTGTGGGCAGGATAGGAGCACTTCTTTCCTTGCAGGGGAGCACTTACCCTGGGAGATAGAAGAAGCCAGAGGCCAGGTGTAGTAGCAGGCAGAGCCTGAGTCAGGACAGAGAGTACTTCCTGGGGGAGGTGAATTGGGCACAGTCCTCAGGGTGGGTGAGATTTGGAAGGGGAAGGATGTTCTTGGTGGAAGGAACTGCATGAACAAAGACAAAGTGGTTAGAATGAGTCTATCATTCAGAGAGGAGGGGGAAGGAGACCTGCCTGGCTGGACATGGTGCGGTTGAAGGCCGAGGGACGGAAATGCCCAGTGGGATGCAAGAGAGCCTGGTCTATGCTCACAGGACACAGCAGGCCCACGTCCACACACAAATGTACCCAGATAGGATAAGCACTGGGATATACGTACATGCTTAGAGCCAAAAGACACAAGCACACGCCTGATCCCTTAGACACTGTATCCATCCTAATTGGGGAGAAAGATGGTGACTCATGAATCCACGGAATACAGGACGAGGTAAGGGACACCCTGAGGGTCTCAGCCTGCCTCCTCACCCACAGTTCTCCAAGGATGTCCTGGTGAACACCTATTCTGCCTACATCGATAACTTTCTCAATGCCAAGGACGCCGTGCGTGTGGCCAAAGAGGCACGGCCCGCCTTTCTCAAGTTCCTGGAGGTACTGCAGACTGGGACCAGGGCGTGCATGGGTGATCCTTGCATTGGGCCAGCCTGGGCATCTTTGCCCTAGTCAGTGGGCCAGCCTCTGCCCTTCGGCTGAGCTGGGGGGTGCTTGCAGGGACCTGTCCTTGAACATGTGCTTCCTAGCATGTCACTATTCCTCACACGATGCCCACCCACTCTGCTCTGGGTTTCAGCAAAGCATGCGAGAGAACAAGGAGAAGCAGGCGCTATCTGACCTCATGATCAAGCCTGTGCAGCGGATCCCACGCTATGAGCTCCTGGTGAAGGTGAGCGTGGGGTTGGATGGTCAGGTGGGCAAGGCCTGGAAGCATGGGAGGAATACAGGAGGCTCTGAGCCCCTGCCTAGTTGAGCCTGGTGTCAGGGTCCCCAGGGGTTGGATAGGAAAGAAAGTCCTCTCTGATGTCTAGCTATAGGCCCTCCTGCTCCAGCAGTCACTCGGGCCCAGGGGCAGATAAGCAGACAGGTCTGGTCCCCATTCCTACCCAGGACCTCCTGAAGCACACACCTGAAGACCACCCGGACCACCCACTCCTGCTGGATGCACAGCGGAACATCAAGCAGGTGGCTGAACGCATCAACAAGGGCGTGCGGAATGCAGAGGAGGCAGAGCGGCATGCCCGTGTGCTGCAGGAGATCGAGGCTCACATCGAGGGCATGGAGGATGTGCGTGCCACCCACCCCACCCACATCTGTGTCCCTTCCTCCTCTGTGTCTGCATCTGTGGCCACCTGGAATCATGGCTGGGTCCACATCGGCCTCGGATGCCACAGTGTGTTTGCATCCATGGCTCCCAGCCTCTGTGGCCACCTGTCACCACCTGTCTGGGTCCTCTTCCACATCTGTCTCTGACCCTGTGTCCAGCAGCAGTGTTGGGAGAGTGGATAGCATGTTGCTTCCGTTGGCCTGGCCCATGGGGTGGGACCGAGGTGTCACTGGGATTTGTGGAGGGGATAGGGATTAATAACTGGCCTCAGGATACCTTGTCCCTCCTGCGCCACAGCTCCAGGCCCCTCTGCGGCGGTTCCTGAGGCAGGAGATGGTCATTGAAGTGGTGAGAAGTATCGCAGTGTCTGCCCGCCTGTCCCCACCTCCCGCTTTGTTCACTCTTCCACTCACACCTACTGCCCACAGGTCTCCCTGCTCTTCCACTCCAGCGGGAGCCCTGGTCCAGCTCTGCTTTGACTCTCTGGCAGCTGGAGGAGAGCCCTCACCCCTTCCCGGGCCTCGCCGTTCCCTTGGGCACTGTGGGCAGGTGGGTGGGCTCCTGGGCTGTGTCCACCCAGCCTGAATCCTGCCTCGGGCCCCACAGAAGGCAATCGGGGGCAAGAAGGACCGGTCCCTCTTCCTGTTCACGGACCTTATCGTCTGCACAACCCTGAAGCGAAAGTCAGGCTCCCTGAGGCGCAGCTCCATGAGCCTGTGAGTGGCCGGGTGGGGCTCAGGTGGCAGGGGCAAGGGGTGCAGTTGTCCCTCCCTGGGCCCCACTCCCCCGCCCTGGCCAGAGTGCCCCATTGGCTCCCCACAGGTACACAGCAGCCAGCGTCATTGACACGGCCAGCAAGTACAAGATGCTGTGGAAACTGCCGCTGGAAGACGCGGACATCATCAAAGGTAGGCTTGGTTCGGGCCTGCTCTGGGGTTCTGGGGGTTGGGATCATCGTCTGTGAAGCCCTCCTGGAGGGTTTGTGCTGCAGCCAGTCTGGCTGCCTGTCCATCTGCTTTTCTGCTTTTGGACCTTACTTTCCCATCCAGTACAGGGGACTGGCATGGAGGGCCCGGCTAGCACCCATGGAGGTGGGCCAACCTGTCCATGCACACCACCTTCCGACTGGGCGGGGACCTGACTGGGTGGGGCTGGGTGGTGTGGTTCAGGGAGGCAGACATCACTGTAATTAGCCATGGATGCATCTGTACAAACTCATTTGAGCGCCTAATACGCGATGATGTTACTCTGTTCTGGTTCAGCAGTTTTGTACACAGGGCACAGAGACTCCCTCAAGTTAGCGCAAGCAAAGGGTGGGTTGGAATGATCCATGGAGTTTGAGAGCTGAGGCAGTGTCGAGGAGCCGCTCCTCCTGCTGTGTCTGTCTGTCTCCCTGTCTTGCTGCGATTCAGCCCATGCTCCCTACTCCTAGCTTTCTCTGCTTCTTTGTAACTCCAGAGATCAGGCCCAGACTCGGTCTCCAGGGTCACCTGGAGGGTGCTCACCTCGAGCTTGGCCCCTCAGTGAACATGGGCCTGTCCCACAGGAGCGCCTGTGTAGGAGTACAAGCTGATTATATTATTATTACTTTGAGTCAGAGTCTCACTCTGTCACCCAGGCTGGAGTTCAGTGGCACAATCACCTTCACAGAAGCCTCAGCCTCCTGGGCTCAGGAGATTCTTCGACCTCAGCCTCTTGAGGAGCTGGGACTACAGGTGCGCACCACCACACCCAGCTAATTTTTTAATTTTTTTGTACAGACAAGGTCTCGCTATGTTGACTAGGCTGGTCTTGAACTCCTGGGCTCAGGCAGTCCTTCCACCTTGGACTCCCAAAGTGCTGGGATTACAGGCATGAGCCATTGTGTCTGGCTCTGATTGTTATTATTATTGGTCCGGTTCATCTCATCTCACTAGAAACTAGGCCAATGGATAAGTTGACCACCTTTAAATTAGGTGCCCACTCCTGGTCTAGTCAACTATGGCCAGGAGTAGGACAGTGTCAGATGGGAGAAAACGTGTCTGTCCAGGTGGTGAGGGTTGTCGTGGGACAGTTTCTCTCAGGAGAAGCAGGAGATCTTCTTAGTCTGTTCAAGCTGCTATTAATAAAAATACCATAGACCGGGTAATTTATAAACAACAGGAATTTCTTGCTCACTATTCTGGAGGCTGAAAGTCCAAGATCAAGGCACCAGCAGACTTCGTGTCTGATGAAAGGTCGTTCCTCACAGACGATACATTCTGTGTGTCTTCACCTAATGGAAGAGGTGAACAAGCTCCCTCAGGTCTCTTTATCAGGGCACAAATGCCATTCACAATGTCTCCCCCTCTGACCTAGTCACTTCCCAAAGGGCCACCTCCTAACAACAGCACACTGGGGATTGGATTCCACCCTATGAATGTTGGAGGGACACACACATTCAGACCACAGCAGAAATATTCCAAGCCTTGGCTTGTCTGGTATACTCCCCTGCTATCCACGCCACACACACTCTTCTTCCTGTAGACACAGTGCCACAGCCTCCTTGTCCAATATGACTCCATCTTGCAGTGACGAGTCATGCCCCTCCCCATCCTCAACAGGCCGCCCCGCACCCCCACAGGGTTCCAGGTCCCAGGGCCATTTCAGACGGGACTTGCAGGGCTCAGGGTCCATTTCTCTAGTGCTATCACACCGTTCCAGGACTTTCTTACCATTCTGCAACCTGTGGCCCCAGTACTAAATGTATATACATCCACAGCACACCCTATAAAACAAGATGGGAGGAAAACAGGAAAAGGAACTCCCTTGTCCTTGATTTCTTTTTTTTTTGAGTTGGAGTCTCACTCTGCCGCCCAGACTGGAGTGCAGTGGCCGCTCCCGGCCACCGCAGCCTCAACCTACTGGGCTTTGGTGATCCTTCCACCTCAGCCTTCCGAGTAGCTGGAATTACAGGCGTGCACTACCACGCCTGGCTGATTTTTGATTTATTGTAGAGATGAGGTCTCGCCAAGTTGCCCAGGCGGGTCTCGAACCCGCGGGCTCAGGCAATCCACTCACCTCAGCCTCCCAAAGGCGCGGGATTACAGGCTGAGCCACCAAGCCTGGCTGATTTCTTTTTTTTTTTAATTTCTTTTATTTTTTATTTTAAAGATGTAGGGTACAATTGAGGGTTGTCTTTGGTTTCAAGGCTTGTGTGTCCTGGCCTGGGGGTAGAGAAACAGCCCCATTTGCAGGCCCTTGGTCCAGACTGTGCGCCCAGCCTGGCAATATAGAGTGCAGGGTGCCATGCTGCTTGTAGGGCTGGCCTCCTGGCAGTAGTCAGGCAGGGAATAGGACCACAGAAATCCAGGGCATCTGCTCATCACTCCCTCCTTTGTGGGGAAATGAGTCTCTTGGTCAGCACATTTGACTGCCCGAGGCTCTGCCTGCTTGGCCGTCCCCCAGGGGGAGGCTGCAATGCCACAACAGTTGCATGTCAGCTGGATCCTGCATAACGCCAAGCCACCCACCATTTTATATGCGGTGCTGCTCGGGAATTCTCCATAGCCGGACATCCTGCGCCATGTGACTCCAAATCAGGCCCAGTCCTCTGCTTGCAGGCCTGGGGTTTCTCTGGTTTATATGTCTGGCCTCTTCCCATGCCCAGCTGCAAGTTGAGCAGTGAGGGGAGGAGTGTCTGTCCAAGCCTGACCTTGTCTATCTCTGTTTATCTGTCCATGGCCTTCCTTCATCCTCACTAGGGGCGTCCCAAGCCACCAATCGGGAGAACATCCAGAAGGCCATCAGCCGCCTAGATGAGGACCTGACTACCCTGAGCCAAATGAGCAAGCTATCTGAGAGCCTCGGTTTCCCTCACCAGGTCTGTGCCCTCTGCCTAAGTCAGGGGAGGGAGGGGATAGGGGACCCTTACCCTGTCTGAGGGAGAGACACATCCCTGGCATTTGCTGGAAGGAGGAAACATCCCATTCACTTATCTAAGGGGGAAAATTACATCCTCACCCTCATCTGAGGGAGAGAACATGTTCCAGGTCTGAGGGTGGAGGCGTAGCTTCATCCCCATCTGACAGGGAGAAAAGGCCTGTCTGTGAGTGGAACCTAAGCCACCTTCTGAGAAGAGAGGCAAGTCCTCACACACATTCTCAAGGTCAGGCACAAGCTGTGGTGAGATGCCTGGGCCTGAGGTCTGGGCCCTCTTCTCCACAGAGCCTAGACGACGCACTGCGGGACCTCTCAGCCGCCATGCACCGGGACCTGTCAGAGAAGCAGGCGCTGTGCTACGCGCTTTCCTTCCCACCAACCAAGCTGGAGCTGTGTGCCACACGGCCCGAGGGCACCGACTCCTTCATCTTTGAGTTCCCCCACCCTGATGCCCGCCTTGGCTTCGAACAGGCCTTCGATGAGGCCAAAAGGAAGCTGGGTGAGCCAAGGCACACAGTGGCACTCTCCTCAAACCTCCAGGCAGTAAGCACCTCATCACCTTCACGGCTTCAGAGCCTGAAATTCCAGAGCTACAATGCCCTGTGCTCCAGCTCCACCTGGTGGGGAGGTGCACTGAGACTGATGCAGTGAAACTAGACTGAATATAGCGGTGCCCCCCTCTTCCCCCAGGCCTCCCTGGCAGGGAGGGGATTCCATGGATAGGGGTCATCGCTGTTTGCTCAGCCTGTCCCATAGCAGGCATGGGTGGCCAAGACTCTCCCATACCTTGCATACACACTCTGAGCAGGGCTGGATCAGGGAAGGCTATCAATCAGGGTTCATGGCTTAGAAGATCCTTAGAGAGCTCTGGGTCTTACCCCGAGACCATATAGATGGGAAAAGATTGAGACCAGAAGCAAGTAGGGTGTAACCCACAACCGCCTGGCTCTAGTGACTGGGATCAGGCCCCTCTCTAGAGAGACCCTGAGGGTCAGGGGAGGAAGGGAAATGGGGCAGGGGCAGGGGCAGGACCAGGGTGAGCTGAATGCTAAGCAGGGTCTGTCTCCCTCTGCCCCGTCCCCTTGTCTGTCCATCTTCACTATAGCATCCAGCAAAAGCTGTCTAGATCCTGAGTTCCTGAAGGCTATCCCCATCATGAAAACCCGCAGTGGCATGCAGGTGTGTCTGCACATGGGTCATGTGGGGGACCAGCGAGTGTTCATGAACTTGCAGGTGTTCATGAGTTTTGTGTACGACATTGCACACATGCCTCGAACTTTGCTGTTGCTCCTTATTATGTGCTGCTCTCTGTACATGCATGTAGACACTGCATGTGTATCACACGTGCGGGGGTATGTTTCATGCATATGTATGTCTGTACATGTGAACAAAGGCTCTGTGATTGCTGAGATGTCTAATGTGCTTGTGTGAGTCTGCCTGTATCATACAAAGGGTACCAGTGCCACATTTGCTACATGCATGTATCCATGATCTTTGCGGGGGATACGTACGTGTACATGCCTGTATGGCATTGGTATGAGTGCACTTGATGTGTAAAGTGTGTCATGTGTGCCTTACATGTACACGTGCATGTGTAGAGGGGTCTATAAGGAATCCATACGCTCACATGCAGGTCTGCTTCCCTCCATTCTACTGGAGTCCCCGGGATTCCTCCCTTAACTTTCCTCCTTGACTTTCCCGTGTAGTTCTCCTGTGCGGCACCCACCCTGAACAGCTGCCTGGAGCCCTCACCTGAGGTGTGGGTGTGCAACAGCGACGGCTACGTGGGCCAGGTGTGCCTGCTGAGTCTGCGCGCCGAGCCCGACGTGGAGGCCTGCATCGCCGTCTGCTCTGCCCGCATCCTCTGCATCGGGGCCGTGCCCGGCCTGCAGCGCCGCTGCCACCGGTGAGGACCGGGGGGCGGGGTGGGCGCGCACTGCGGGCCTGAAGACAGAGCCCCGCCCTCCCCGCTCCTTCTCCTCCTTCCCCCTTCCTCCTTCCTCCTCCCCCCAACATGAGGCCGGCGAAAGGAGGCTGTGGGCGGGGCCCGGTGATTGTGGGCGGGGCCCGGTGGGCGGGGCCCTGTCGGAGAGCCCCCAGCAGGTCCTGCCGAGCCGCTCTCATCCCTTGTCCCTTCCTCTCGCAGGGAGCAGCCTCCGTCGCTTAGGAATGCGCCCGAGATAGCACCGGAGCCTGCCGGGCCGGAACTGGATGTCGAGGCTGCCGCAGACGAGGATGCCGCGACGCTGTCAGAGCCGGGGCCCCAGCCCTGTCTGCATATCTCCATTTCAGGCTCAGACCTGGAGATGGCGCCAAGCCCGGCCGAGGGTGACCCCCGCCCAGAGCTGGTGCCCTTTGACAGTGATTCTGACGACGAGTCTTCGCCCAGCCCCTCGGGGACCCTGCAGAGCCAGGCCAGCCGGTCCACCATTTCCTCCAGCTTTGGCAGTGAGTGCCCAGCTTGAGACTGGCAGGCAAGGCGGACTGCCCAGAGGAGGGGACAGTGCAGGCAAAGGCGTGGAGTCAAACCTCAGGATGTTGGCATGCAGAGCAGTGTGGGTAGGAGCTGTGACACTGAGGACCCGGAGGACAGTGGGGCAGTCTGGCAGGATCCTGAAGACTCAGGAGTGCCCAGCTAAGGAAGATAGGAGGCTGGGTGGAATGGTTGGTCTCTCTGTTCAAGGTGTGGCAAATGGATGGGAGGGGGCCAGGCTCCGACAAGGCACCTGTAGCACTAAGCTGTCAGTGAGTAGGAGAGCAGACCTGAGCAAATGCACAGGCCTCAGGAATGGGAGGAACAGCTGCGAGAGGTCCTCAGGAGGAACATGGTCGGGAGGGATGTGTTGACACAGGCCTAGAAAGATATCTGGTCTCAGGTCTGGCAGAGGGGAATGGAGACAGAGAACCTTGTCTCCCTCAGATGAGGAGATCCCGAGTTCCAAAGAGGCCACGGCAGAAACAACCAGCTCCGAGGAGGAGCAGGAGCCTGGCTTCCTGCCGCTGTCTGGCTCCTTTGGGCCTGGCGGTCCCTGCGGCACCAGCCCGATGGATGGGAGAGCCCTTCGCCGCTCCAGCCATGGTTCCTTCACGCGGGGCAGCCTTGAGGACCTGCTGAGTGTCGACCCTGAGGCCTACCAGAGTTCCGTGTGGCTGGGCACTGAGGACGGCTGGTAGGGACAGGAGAGGGGTCGGGGAGACTGTGCTAGAACTCTGAGATCCCTGCTCTGGAAATCACGTGGTATCCTGAAGCAGAGGCAGGAGGGCTTTGGGTCATACCTCAGGAGTACTTGCTAGCCAAGGATGCCAGTGGGTCTTAAACCCACAGGGAGGCTGTGGGATCTCAGTACCTTGGTAGGAACCTGGCATGGAGAACATGGTGGTGGAGGCAAGGAGGTGGAGGGTTGACTCCAGGGACTGGTGTGCTCCAAGCATTTGTCATAGGTGCACACCCCAATCCACAGTGTCCACGTCTACCAGTCATCCGACAGCATCCGTGACCGCAGGAACAGCATGAAGCTCCAGCACGCAGCCTCTGTGACCTGCATCCTGTAAGGTTCCAGGGGCCCTTCCTGTCCAGATTCTTCTCAGCCACATGTGTAGTCCTTTTTCTGTTCACCTGCTGCTGTGCCCCTCTCCCCAGGCTAGCTGTGCCTCTTAGGGCAAGTTACTACCTTTTCTTAGCCTCGGGCTCCCCCCAACTGGAGAACAAGGGGTGGCAAGAGGTGGTCTTTCAGGAGCAATAGCCATTCTATCTGTGGTTCCTCTGGCCCTGGGTGACCTGCTTTGACCTCAGGAATTCCCTGACTCCTCCCTCTTTTCCCTACCCAGATATCTGAATAACCAGGTGTTTGTGTCCTTGGCCAATGGAGAACTTGTGGTCTACCAAAGAGAAGCAGGTGACTTCCCACCCTACCTCCTGTCCCCAGATCCCCTGCTGGTGTTGGAGCTCTCTCCTGGACATGCGGACTCCCAGGTCCTCTCTGGGTCTCGGTGTCCTCGTTTATAAATAGGGATGTTAACATTTAATTTCAAAGGAGAGTGATGCTTAAATTCAGAACTGGATTGAATTTCCTACTTTCTTTATCCCACTCCAGGCCGTTTCTGGGACCCCCAGAACTTTAAATCAGTGGCTCTGGGCACTCAGGGGAGCCCCATCACCAAGATGGTGTCTGTGGGTGGGCGACTGTGGTGTGGCTGCCAGAACCGAGTCCTTGTCCTGAGCCCTGACACGCTGCAGCTGGAGGTATGAGGGGGCAGGGAGTTGGAATTGGCAACTTGGGTTGAGCTGAGCCCATGAGAGAGGGAGGAAGACTATGGAAGGGAGCACAAAAAAAGCATCCAGTTGAGGGTTGGGACCTTCCTCTGACCACAGTGTGATGCTGGGCTAGTCCTTGTCCTTCTCTGACCCTCATTTCTACTCTAGCTGATGTAGATTACAGTAAGTGTCCCATGTCCATTAGGAGTCCTTATTCACCCTCCTGCTCACCCTACCTCTCAACTCAGATATTGGAGTCTTTGGAGAATAGGACAAGGGTCCTTCCTGATGTCAGCATCCATTAGCATCAGCCTCTGACCTTCAATCCTGATTTCATTACATACATGTCAGAGGTGTCCAGCTTGGGTGGTATCCAGGGGCAGCAGTTCCTGTTTTCCTCTCACCTATTCTGTTGTTGACTGGTTGGAGTCCAGAGCCCTGGGTTCAGGCCCCAGTTTTGTGACTGATTTGCTATGTGACCTTGGGCAGGTTATTTTTCCTTTCTAGGCTTCAGCTTCCCTATCTGTCCCAGGAGAGGCCAATTACTGATTTAAAAATCCTTCGGGGCGGGTGCGGTAGCTCACGCCTGTAATCCCAGCACTTTGGGAGGCAGAGGTGAGAGGATTGTCTGAGCCCAGGCATTCAAGACCAGCCTGGTCAACTTAGCGAGATCTCTTCTCTACAGTAAATCAAAAATTAGCTGGTCATGGTGGCACACACCTGTGGTTCCAGTTACTTGGAAGCCTGAGGTGGAAGGATTGCTTAAGCCCAGCAGGTGGAGGCTGCAGTGACCATGTGCCACTGCACTCCAACCTGGGTGACAGTGCGACTCTGACTCAAAAAAATAAACGACAAAAGTCCTTTGGACTTTGAAGTCTTCTGATCCTTAAATCACTCAAACTTCATGGGGAAAGGGCACCTCCATTGTAATTCCTGATGATCAAGTTGGGAGGTGCCAGTAGAACCAAGTTTTAAGAGGTTAATGCTGGCCTCCCAAGGGCACGGGATTACAGACTGAGGAAAAAAAAAAGGTTAATGCTCTGGACCAAGGACCAAGGCTGCCTTTGCTGTCCATCTGGATGAGCGTTCTGAGCGGTTTGGTGTGAGCTGTGAGGGAGGGACACTGGCGAAGCTCCAGGCAAGGACAGGCCAGGAGAGGCAGGGCTGCTAGTGACCCATCTGATCTCTACCCGCCCTCCCACAGCACACGTTTTACGTGGGGCAGGATTCGAGCCGGAGTGTGGCTTGCATGGTAGACTCCAGCCTGGGCGTGTGGGTGACGTTGAAAGGTAGCGCCCACGTGTGTCTCTACCATCCAGACACCTTTGAGCAACTGGCCGAGGTAGATGTCACACCTCCTGTGCACAGGATGCTGGCAGGTACTAACCTCTGACTACCCCCGTGTCCTCCTTTCAAACCTTTCTGCCCCATCACTGAGGAAACTGAGCCAGGACTAGGATTCGGCCCCAGCTCTGGTCTGTCTCCACTCCCTCCCCAGGCTCAGATGCCATCATCCGGCAGCACAAGGCTGCCTGCCTGCGGATCACAGCACTGTTGGTGTGTGAAGAGCTGCTGTGGGTGGGCACCAGTGCCGGTGTTGTGCTTACCATGCCCACCTCACCCAGCACTGTCAGCTGCCCACGGGCGCCCCTCAGCCCTGCTGGCCTTGGCCAGGGACATACCGGCCATGTCCGCTTCTTGGCTGCGGTCCAGCTGCCAGATGGCTTCAACCTGCTCTGCCCAACCCCACCACCTCCCCCAGACACAGGTGGGTCAGCACATCCCTACCCCGAGCCAGGGGTCCTGGACTTTCAGTTTAGACTCTCCACTGTCCTGCCAGAAGAGGTTTCAAGAAGGAAATGTGTAACATAGAGTTGAAAGAGGCATATATTACAAGAAATAGGCCATGGAGGCCCCAAGATGAAATCTAGATTGTGTGTGTGTGTGTGTGTGTGTGTGTGTGTGTGTGTGTGTGTGTGTGTGTTTTGTGTGTATAAAGTTCTGTCCAAAGAAGTGTCATGGGAGACAGGGAGTGCACTCTAAGCCAAGAAGCAGAATATGGCACAGATAAAATGTGCACATAGAAAATATATCCTGTTTTATATGTCTTACATACAACAGGAAGTAAATGATGCATAGGGCAGGAAGTGAGGCACAGAGCAGGAAATAGAAATGGCATCAGAAAGCACAATATAGACAGGAAGACAGGAGATAGACGTGAGAATTAGAAGCGAAACAGCAGGAAATTATGGTCAGCAAGGAGGTCGTAATCAAAGTCGTTTTGGCAGGACAAGAAACCACATTCCCAGAGGAAGTGGCTGTGGAAATCAGGAAGCAATAAGCTCAGTCAGGGGTTGTCTGGGTTCAGAGAAGAAAGACTTCAGTGACCTACCTGGGAAAGGGCTATTGGCAGGGGGAACACTGCATAATTATAGTGAAGAGGACACTGTCTGTGCGGTAATCAAGATAGAGAGTAGTGTCTTATGTGGCATTAGCATTTACAGTATAAAAAAGAAAAAAAAGAAAGTGGTGTCACCCTGGGAAGTTATATGGCTACTGACTAGAAAGTACAGATGGAGGAAAGAAGTGTGACTGGCTGCCAGGAAGTAGGCATTGCTTTCCAAATAAGTTCTTGGCTAACAGAAAGTGGGATCCCCATAGGAAGTGTGCATTTTCTTATCTTCCGGGTGTGGGAGCTTAGGCCATGATGGGACAGTGAAGCCACCAGTCACCCCCAGACTGACAATCCTTCCCTCCGACCCCAGGCCCCGAAAAGCTGCCATCACTGGAGCACCGGGACTCCCCTCGGCACCGCGGCCCTGCTTCGGCCAGGCCTAAGATGCTGGTCATCAGTGGAGGTGATGGCTATGAGGACTTCCGACTCAGCAGTGGGGGCAGCAGCAGCAGCGAGACCGTGGGCCGAGATGACAGCACAAACCACCTCCTCCTATGGAGGGTGTGACCCTGTCTGTCATGGCCCAGGACGCGCTCACCCGCCTGCCCTCAGCCTGCTTGCCTCTTCCTAGCCCACATGCAGATTTTGACCAGGCGTGTCCAACCAGGGGCACACATGGGCCTGCGCGGGCTCTGTCCCATCTTCACAGAAGCATTCCCAAGGGAACGCCTGCTGGCTAGCCAGGCCAAGGCCTCTCCTGACCCTCTGGCTGCTCCAGTGCTCCCAGTCATGATAGGATGGGGGACATGTGGGCTGCCCAGGACCTCTATCCCTGGAGCTTCTACCAAAGACACGGCTGGGCATGGACTCCATGGGGCTGGGGAGGGCCATGTGCAATATTTGGAGGATTTTTCTGGGGCAGTAGGAAGGCTGGAGAATTTCCCATGTACAGTATTTATGTTTCCTTTTAGATGTGTACCTTCCCAAGCACTTATTTATGCAATGACCTAGGGGTGGGGGTGATTTGAAGAAATGACAGGGGGAGGAAAAACCTATTCCTGCCCTGGGGGCCACCCTGGGACCCTAACCAAGCCTTCCTGGAGGGACCGATGTACCCCCCCATTACATACACATACACACACACACACACACACACACACACACACACACACACACACACACACACTCTCTCTCTCTCTCTCTGCAAGTTGAGGACACTAGAGCACTGTCCCTTAATGCAGACTTTCCGAGGCCCCACCTGATTGGGCTGCCCTCAGTCATTCAGAACAAGACGATGACTCCTGGGGGCAGTGATTCCCATGGGGGGACCTTCCCAGGCTTTGGCATTCCCCAGTTTGTTGGCGGTGAGGTCTCCTAATTTGGGACTGCTGATGAGGCCTTGGACAGGGCTCTCGCCCAGGTAAGAGAAAGGGGCCCTTGCTTTCCTCCCAGTTGCTCCCAGTTCCCAGCCCCACCTCCCTGTGTCTCATGCACTGTCACATATGGTCACCCCCTGAATTCTTCTCTTCACACTCCCTCCTCCACCCTAGGAGGAGGCAGCCCCCTCAGGAAGGAACCCCATAGCTGAGGGGCTGGACGTGGCCTCTTCAACTGGGAAGGCTTCCACCTGAGGGCAGCCTCTTCCCGATCCCCCCCGACGGCAGGGAGCCACTCTGACCCTCAGCCCCCTTGCTTCTTCAGCTACAACTCCAAAGGTCTGGTTTCAGGTGGGGTTTGTTTTGTTCTGTTTGGTTTTGGTTTTGCTTGGGGTGGGTGGGTCATTGCAGTCTTAGATTATGTTTCTCTTGCTACCAAACAGTCATGCATTAACTCTCTTTGGATGATGAAGTTTAAAGAGTCAATAAATAGAAACACCAAACGGCTGCTCCCCAGTGGTGGCCACAGTGGCCTCCTGCCAGCAACCTCAGGCCTCTGAACATCCACTCGCTTGGGGAAAAGGAAGGCCTTGGAGACCCAGAAGATTTGCTCTGTTACCCTGGGCAGGTCACTGCCCCCTTCTGGGCTGCAATTTCCTCATCAGGAAAATAAAGCGGTCCTGCTCGTGCCATGCTTTGTCACCAGGGCAACATGCTAGAACTCTGTAGAGATGACATCTTGATTTTATTTTTTTAAGCTTTTAATTTTTTTTATTTTAAAGATGTGGGGTACAAGTCAGGGTTAGGTATACAGATGTTCATTATGCAGGTACCCTTGGGAATGAAGTGTGCCCTCCCTTCCCCAGGCAGATTCCCACTACTGCCAATTCCTCTTCCCCGCCCCCCTCCCAGCAGTTTCCTGCTATTGCCATGGCATCTTTAGATGTGAAAATAAGAAATGCAAATCACACACACAATTTATGTGCCAGTCAAGAGCTTCTGAGTCGGTGGGTCTGGGATGGGGCTTGGAAAGCCAAAGCTGACACAGGTTCAAGGAACAGAGTCAGGGTGCTGGCAAGCCTAAGGCTCCTCCACAAAACCATGTTCTCCAGCAAAGCCTCCCAGTTAGAAACCTCTGACAGCCAAGGGGAGTCCCAGGCTTCAAAGCAGGGGTAGAATTCAAGTCTGTCTGATTTCTGGTCCAAAGAGGGATGTCCTGAAATCACACAAGAGTGCAAAGCCCCAGCAGCATGGGACCACTTTATGCAAAGACAAAGAGCCTTTCACACCTCGATGCCCCTGCAGAACTTGGGATGGCCGCCCCTGGAAAAAGGTGGATCATGCCTCAGCTCTGTTGAACATGTGTCTGCTGGACCTGTGAACATTTCCAACCAAAATGAACAAAGTCAGTTTCTGTAGGCGCATACAGGCTCATGCTTTGCAAACTGGCAACATATCTCTCAGCGGTCTGCTGAGTCCTCAATGCTACAAGATATGCATGAACTGTCTCTCTGCAGCATCATTTTACTTGGGGAGATCTGAGGAGAAGGAGGAACACTAAACAGATATCTAATGCAGTAGGAGGCGACATCTGTGCGGAACTCATCATGATACTAAGTGTCAGAAGGAACACAGACTTTGAAGCTGGACAGTCCCTGTTTGAGATCTTGACTTTGCCACTAACTAGCTATGTGCCTGTGGACAGTGGTATCCCTCTGAGCCTCCATTTCCTCATCTGTGAAATGGGACTGATAATCCCTTCCTGCACAGAACTGCTGCTTCGAATGCACAGGTCTTTGGATTGCAAGGAAGAGATTCAGTCTGCCCCTGAAATAGAAGGGGTGCTTACTAGTGGAGACATGAGTTGACTGCAAGTAGCTATCAGAGGCACAGTGGCCCAGACTTCAGAGCTGTATCTCGGGGCCTCTGGCCTCCCTGTCTTGGTTCTTTCCTCACTGCCAGTCAGCTGCTGTTCCCACTGCTTCACAACATCTGCTGCCTCAAGGGCTCTGCGTCCTCCACACAGATGCCCCAGTTTCAGCATTGGGTACCCCAAGGCCAGATTCTCCATTTTCCCCAAGTGGGAATGGGATTTAAGGGGACTGACCCAGACCATTGTTACTTAGAAGGCCATTTCCTAGGGCACTGGGCAGCTTGTGGACAGCTGCCTTTTGATCAGGTGCTCAGCCCTGAACCAGTTAGCTGTGGGGAAGGAGGTGCTGGAATGAACAGCCATCAGGCCTCAGGCCCCAGGCCCCAGGCCCAGGGAAGATTGTCTCCTCTAAAGCAATGATGCTCAGCCTTGGCTGTACATTATAATTACAGGGGAAGCGGGGGTGGGAACCCAGGCCAAATCCCAGACCAATTAAATCTGAACTCTGAGGGTAGAGCCTAGGTGTATTTTTTTGTTTTGAGTTGGGGTCTCTGTCACACAGGCTGGAGTACAGTGGCATGATCATGGCTCACCACAGCCTCAACCTCCTGGGCTCAGGTGATCCTTTGCCCTCAGCCTCCCGAGTAGCTGGGACTGGATCTTGCCCAGCTAATGTTTTTATTTCTGTAAAGATGAGATCTCGCTATGTTGCCCAGGCTGGTCTCAAACTCCTGGACTCAAGCAGTCCTCTCTTGGTCTTCAAATGTGCTAGAAATACAGGCGTGAGCCATGGCACCCAGACAGTATCAGTATTTTTTAGGAAACTTTTTTATTGATACATAACATGCCAAAAAGTACAGTACACAGATCATTCGTGTGCAGCTTGATAAATGTTCACAAAGTGAACACACCCAGATCAAGGAGCAGAATATCTTGTTACGCCAGAAGCTCTCCTTAGACATCCTCCCAGTCTTCAACTGCCACCCTGACTTCTGATACCATGGTTTGTTTCACCAGCCAAGGTGGAGAACCCCTGCTTTAAAGGATATGGCTATGGCTGGCCACTGGGTAGAGGAAGTGGGGCTTGGGTTTGATATTAAGACCACACAGCTTGAACTGAAGCAAGGAAGGGTGAAGGAGCTTGATGGAAAGGGTCCCTGGTACAGGCTCAGGTGGATGGGAGAGGAAAAGGCAGGGAAGAATGAGATTGGGAACTCCATGAGGGCAGGGCTTTGTCTTGTTCTTTGTCCCCTCCCCAGGCTGCAGCACCTGACACAAAGTAGGTCATCAACAAATATTTGTTGAAATAAATCTGGAGAGTTCAGGTGAGATCCAACTCCAGGTCTGAAAGGCCACAAAACAATAACCCAGCTTCCTCTTACTGAGGGTTCATGCAAGCCAGGAGCATGGATCTAATCCTCACAGTTGTCCTGGGAGGTTGGTACCATTGTTACCCTCCTTTTCAGGTGAAGAAACTAAGGATCAGAGAGGTTAAATGCCTTCCTCAAGGTCACCTACCTACTATGTGGTAGAACCTGGTTTCATATCTGAGCTTTCTGCTCAGGTCTCCCTGCTTCCCTCCGTGGAAGAGGAAGGCCAGCCACATGGGGACCTTTGGGGACAGGAGGGACAGCATGAATGGCTAGAGCCACATCCTGTCACTCTTGAGGCAACTTCTCTAGACCAGCCCTGGGAAGGGGATCCAGACTCCAGAGAAGGGGAGAGGGTCAGGGCCAAAGGCCATCTCCTCTTCAAGGGTGTTCTCTGGGAGGCCCCTTGGGCTAGGGACAGAGGGTTGGATTTAGCTAGACCATCTACCTCATGGGAAAGATGAGGCACAGAGGGACGGGGAGGTCATGGAGTAAGGCAGCATTGAGGCTGAGGGTGGGTGGGGGGGAAAGCCCAGGCAGGAAGGTTTCCTGAGGTCAGAAAAGTCAGGAAGTGACTCTTGGAAGCCAGGGGAGGCAGAAGGCTAGATTAGCTGGCCTCCTGGAGCCCCATGACACACCTCAAATCAGCCTCAGCACTAGTCCAAGTGCAGAAGGCTTGGTGGAGGCAGGGCAAGTCCGGCTAGGGCCCTGCCTTAGATCTTCTGGGGAGGGAATGGGGGACCCAGGGGGTCTGAAATCAAGCTCCAGCACTGGTCTCTCCTCAGTGTGTGACCCTAGGCAAGTGTGTGCCCCTCTCTGGACCCAAGTGACCTCTGAGAGCCCTTCACATCTTCATGTCTGCCAAACACCAAGCCTCCCTCTGTCCTCACAGACCTTAAGCCACAGGCCAGGTTGCAGGAAGTGGCAGAGAGAGGTGCTATTTTGGGCCCAATTACAGCCAATGAGGATCTCTGCCTGGCAAAGGCAAGTGAACTGGCATCCCAGGTGGGGTCAGGGGTAGATTGCAGGGCTGCACTGGGGAAAGGATAGTGAGCAGGCATCGGGAGTAAGTAGGGACCTCTGATGCCCCTGACACTGAGGGAAGCAGGAGAGTGGGGGTTCCTGAGCCTGGTGGCTTGGAAAAAGCTGGCACTCCTTTATAGGGTCTCAGCAGATCCTCATAACACCCTAGGATGGGTGAGTTCTCAGAGAGGCAAAGTCACTTGCCTAAGGCCACTCAGCCTGGTAACGGCAGAACTAGGACCTGACCATTATCTGTGTGACACCAAAACATGTATTCTTCCATTGCCCCCAGATTTCTCTTTTCCAAGCTTCTGAACCTAGGATGCTTCAGGAA